AATCGTGGTGCCTGCAAAACAATTGCAACCAAATGAAAGGCTATATATCCATATCACTTGCATGGGGGCACCGGCCTTCATCATTCTTGTATTTCCCCCTCCCGGACTTCGAGAAGTCCGTGTGGAGCTGCAGCCGCTCCACCACATCGGCCTGTTATTTTTGGGGCGGTGGCATGTGTGTGCATGTGGTTGTACAGGGGCCCCACCTCCACAGCGGAGGGAAGGCTTCGCGACAAGAAGCTAAAGGACATCATCACTCCCAAAAACCACGGCAGCTTCACAAGCCAAAAGAGCTGAAAAAGCAAGCATGGCGCAGACGTGGCACCCACTGCAACAAGGGCAAATGTGCATGCAGAAACACGACACCAATGTTCAGAGAGCTTCGGTCGATGTCGTCTGTCCAAAGACAGCATCGGGCAATCAAAGTGTGGAGCCGTTGTGAGTTTGCATCATTGACAGTAATATATACATATGTATATATATATATATATATTTTTTCACGGTGTGTTGATACATACTATACATCAAGTATACACATTGCATGGATGCACGGAAGATACATGCGAGACTGCATGCAGAATCACTTCTTGGCCTTGGCCGGGGAGCCAACGATGCCCTTCGGGGCCGGGTTCTTGGCCGGGGAGCCATTCAGGATGCTCTTCAGGGCCGGGCTCTTAGCTTTTGCCTTGGCCTTGCCCTTGGCTTTCGCCGCTGGAACCTTCTTGGCCTCCTTGTCGGAATCCTCGCTGGCATCGGTCTTGTCCCGGGAGCTGTGCCTTCTTTTCTTCCGATCGACAGGCATTTGTCGATTCGCCTGCTCCATGAGCCAATTGAAATTTTCGGAGAGCATCTCCACGAAGATGCTCCCGGTAGACAGGCCCTCGCTGAGGATCGACAGCTGAAAGCCATCGATCGTAATGTCGACGATCGCCGGCAACAGGTGCAAATGCTTGGCCAAAGCCTTCACCTTATCCTTCTTGCTTTTCTTCTTCTTGGGCTCGTCGTCGGCTTCATCGTCCCTCAGGGCCTCTTCCAGCAGCTTGTCGCAAGCAGCCTGCCTCTTCTCGATCAAATCGTCAAAGAGCTTTATGTTCAGCGACCCCGATGATTCCCCTTGGCCGGACCGCAAGTCCAGTCGTTTGCCTGTGATCATTTTCACAAGCTGCGGGGACCATTTCGAGACAGCACAGAAGACCCGGTCGTCGACACTCTTTTGGGTTGGCATCCAGCTTCGGTCACCCAGCACGACAACCTGTTTCGTCACAATCTCGAAGCAAGCCATGATGATGCGATGCACGGGGGAAATGGTTTGATGCGAGGCTGGAGCTGTTTTCTGCCGGCGAGCACACATGCCCTGCCTAGGCGAAAACGACACATCCATGCAAGCAGCAACTTCAACAATGCACCTGCACTTCATCACGGGCGATGCATCCTGCACTTGCATACAGAAGCATAAAACTGCACTGCATTTCCATCCGCAAAGCACAAGCTCGCACACCTGAGGGATCCTCGCACCATGCAGCTGCACAGAACACTCTATGAATGGTCGCTCTATAAAAACCATGCCCCTCGGATGCTTGCAACCTGCAACAATTGTATCCTTCTCCGCAATGCATTAGAAACAGACCTCACATATACATACAATGGAATCTTTCAGATACTGCAAGCTCAAGCAATGGCTGCTGCTGGTATAGCAGCACACTGGACTGCATACGGATGCCGAAACATCACTTCTTCTGAGCCTTCTTGCTGGAGCCACCTGAGCTCGCCGATGCTCTTTTCTGCGCCGAAGTCTTGTGGTCGTCCTCCACTTCCTCCAAGGGAGCCACCTGCACCGTTTTAGATCTGAAAGCCACAATGGGGCTGCCTTCCGGGATCTTCTTGGTGTTCTTAAAAACCGGAATCTTGATGCTCTTCTCTGTTCCCGCAATCCAAACAAGCTTCACATTGCAATCCTCTTCCTGATGGCTGTGCTGCACCAACCAAAAGGGAACTACCACATGTTTGCAAGTGTCGTCGTCGTTATCTTTGGGTAGAATGTTGGCTCCGGAAAGCCAAAACTTGCGGTCGTCTCCTTGCCAGTCCGTCTGCACCTCAAACATGGTGTTGCCTTGGCCCTGGGATTTCTGCACGACCTTGTTGGTCATGGGCACCATGCAGAGTTTCTTGATGTCCGAGTTGGCAAGCAACATCCTCGAAGGCTTCAGCTGCAATTTCAGGTGCTCCGATCCACACTCCATGGACTGGTGAAGCTTGTAGAGCTCAAGCTGAATCTTCGATGCAAGAATGCTGGCATCAAAATCCACATGGTGCTGGTACTGGTCCAAGCTGTCTAGCATTGTGGGCTGCACACGAGGAACAAACACGACCCAATCTCCAGCCAGGATAACATTGAGATCCACCTTGGCCGTCTTTCCCGAAGCCATCTTCACAAAGACCATCTGACCTTTCACTTCTGAAAGAACTCCCTCGATTTTGTCAACCTTGCGACGGATGTGTGCACCCATAGCGAAACCCTTGGAGGCCAATATCTTCTCAGGTTCCTTGATACTGCCGTCTTCAGCAAGCTCAAGCATCACACCTGCAGCAGAAGGCTGGGAAGCAGTCGCTGCAGTTGCAGCTGGTTCACTTTGCTCAGACACCGACTCCCATGGCAAAGGGAGTGCAACACCGGTCAGGTTTCTTGCCACGAGCAAAAAATCGTGCCCAATCGCTTGGACTGTTTTGTACTTTTTCTCGTCCGGCACCTTGATGCCGAGGACGTGCGATGCTATCGTCATATCCATAGTGGCCAGAGCTTGCACGACCCGCGAATCCGTCATGAAATCGCGAGCTCCATCCCTTAAGATGCCCCTGACCGTGAGGATCATGTTGTCAGCTTCCTTGACCTTGGGGAAGAGTTCTTTAGAAGTCATCTTCTTCACATCAGCAATGGTCACATTCTGCCTCAAGTATGCCTGCTTCATGAGTGCATGGCGAAATGCTGCAACGGGATCTGACTGGTGCCCTCGGCAATCTTGCCCGAAAGCCTCCCACAGGACAGGCCCCAATTGCCGAGAAGAAGGGCAGTAAGCCCGCACAAAGGACTCCGTCTCCTGAAGGAAGCTCGCATCGGCACCCCCGGAAGCCTTCAGACAAAACGTAAACATGTGGGGTACGGAGGCATGGCAGCTTGGTTTGCTGGCCAATATCAACTTCTTCAGAGATGCAAAAGCCGGTGCTTGGCCAGTCTGAGTCTGCAAGCGGTAGTACGTGGAATGGATGCGACGGAGTACTTGTAGCTCATGTTCTCCTCGTTGAAGCGATGTGTTGCCTGACCGGGATATCAAGCTGATCAGCTCTGGGAACTCTTCCGCCACGGAGGAGGAGATCACGTCCCACGTCAGGCCTTGATCAGCTGCTTCGTGGAACGAAGCATCCCGAGCACGAAGAAGCTCCATGCTGAGCTTTCCACCCACACTCACGACCTCGTTGCCGTGGCTTGCACCTTGTTGAAAAAGTCGCAAAGCGCAATTGGTATGTGATCCGCAGATCGAAGTGATCTTGATCGCTTCCGGCTCAAGGCTTCCGAGAAGACCGTGGGCTGACTCGAACAGCTTCTTGTTCCACTGCCGGACCCAGTCTCCTTCGACTTCGACACCGACCGCATGCACACGTGTGGGGACATAGCCCACATCGACAATCGAGTCCACAAGATCACGAACGTCTTGTGGATTCACTCCGTACCCATCCCGGTTGCAGGGATGGATCCCCACAAGGCTCGCCTCCAACTTCATGGAGGTCAAGAGATGCTTGGACTTCAAGTAGTTCAAGCAGTTCTCCACGATTCGGACAAGGCCGTCGCCATCCGAGGCTTCTCGAAGGAAAGCCTGCAGCCGCTCTCGCACATCCGACTGCAAAGGCATGATGGGCAAGCGAGATGGAGGACGGAGCTGAAAATCTGCCTGCGAGCCAAGGGCCCTGCAATGGCGATAGATGGCTGCAATGCATGGAGTCATGCACAATACACAGAAGGCAAGCATGCGAGCATGTCCTCAACACATGCAATGCAGCAGCTTTCCATGCAATTTTCAATTGCATCCTGAATACATGCGGCAGGAGATCTCCATGCAAGCTTCCGTTTGAAGCTTTGCAAATGCCAGGAAAACAACTTCAAATAAACAACTTACACCACTTACCTAAATCAGTTACACAAAGTTATCTAAGTTTGGCAAGTTGCTTAAAAGACTTGTTCTATCTTACTTATAAGTTCCACCCTGCTTTTGGCTAAGTGACTCAACTGCTTGCTCCACTTCTTAATTCAAGCCTCGGACTTGCTAAGTTGTCCATACAACATAGTATATATACAGCACTTATAACTCATGTTAACGAACTTGTAACTCAACTTAACCTGATTGTCTAAATCTCCTAAACCATGTATTCGATTACTAAACACCCCGCCCCTTCAAGTAGAACCCAATGTAGGTATACTCCCTGGAGTTGTGCTTCACACAGTCAGATGTCCAGCTAGCTGTTTCGTCGACTATGCTTATACAAGCACAGTTATAGGGTGCGTTCTCCAAATCAAGGCTCCTTTTAGTTAGGATGGTTTCTTGTGAGGGTGCCACACCATATTGGGACCTACAACAGCACCCAAGTTTGGAGAACTACCTCTCGATGTTACTGGACTTCTGGAAATTACGTGGGGGGCCGGTAGACGGGCCCGAAATCTTCTGATGGGATTGGGATAGTAAGCCATAAACCCTAAACCCAAAACCGCCCTACAGTACAGGGGTAGACCTCCCACACAGACCAGGCCCAAACGCTTCAGTCTGGGACAATGTTAAGGCTCCAGGGCTTCAGGTTTTTAGGGTTGCGCGTTTTTAGGGTTTAGGGTTTAAGGGGTTTAGGGGTTTAGGTTAAGGGTCTAGGGTTTTTTTGGGGGGGGTTTAGGATGGTTTCGGGCCTTGAATCTTGACCGAAAGGACCTTAAGGCTTACGGCTCAAATGTAGCCAGGCGCTCGAAGGTGATGCCATCCTTCAAGGGAGGCATTCAGGATCTTCAACAACACGGTTTAGAGATGTCTCGGAGCGAGCATGACGTCTTTCCAGAGGCTCAGGGCTTACGGGCTTCGGGGCTTGCAAGGGGGATAAGCTTTCTGCTTCAAGGGTGTTTGGGCTCGGCGAAGCGTTTCGATGTCCAAGTCTTGGGTCTAGTTTAGGGTACAGGGCTTAGAGCAGGCGGGTTGGTCGTGAGGTTAGCAACGTGATTAGAAGACAGCTCGCTCCATGCGCAACGCCGGAGTACGCTAGATTACATGCTACAGAAAGGGAAACCGAAAGGTTCAACACTTAGTCTTGCTACTCTTTGAACTCTGGCAAACATGGTTCTTGAAGATCCCTGCTAGCAAACCACGGCCAAAGACAGCAAAGACTTGGGATGTAAGCAGAAGCCTTGTAGCCAACCCGGTCCTTTGGCGGATCTTCGTCACCTGCCGTCTGTAGCGCCGACATCGGAGCGCGACGCTTCTGTGTATGCGTCGTAACCACCAAGTTCTGTCCTGCTTGAAGGTTTCCGCTTTCGGGTTGACTAGTGGATCGAATGCAGTTCTATCGTTGTCGTTTTTGCCATACCATGCGCTTTTCCGGTAAGCACGGGTCACGTGACTTGTTTTTTTGTCAGGGTAGGGTTTAGTTGGTAATATATACGGTGAACGGGGTGCTTATGCGGCCTCTCAAAGGGTTTTACATGGGCTTTGGGGTTTGTTTAGGGCTGGGGGTTTACGGGTTCGGGGACTCTTCGGAATCTTCGGAATATGAATTATTCCAAATTACCTAGGCCCCATGCAGTGACAACTGTGAACAGAACGGCAAAAGCAACACACAAACCACTGCATACACTCACGACGATCCAACATAAGCAAACCACGAGGCGCAGAACTAAAACCCTGAGGGTCAATAGCCCTGTAGCCCTGCACCTCTGAGACACTTGCCCCCTAGAACCTAGGGTTTAAGGATTAGGATGTGTGTCAGTGTCCATGCAGTGGCGGGTGGATTCTTCCGAACGTGCCCACTTATCGCACGCATGTGTCAGCATAGCCACCCCAATTATTCTCAATTAGAGTTTAGGGTTCACGCCGCGCGGCCTTCACGGGGGACTGTCTTGCAAACCACAGCTGAAATGGATTGGTGTCGGGTTGTCGGTCCTCGCGGCCTCTCGACGAGAAGCAAGGATTCCCAACCAACAACCCGCCCCTCGCACCCAGTGAGGGTCACTTGAACTAGCAGCTACCCTAGCAGGTTCTTGAAGAATGAATACTAATTAACAAGGACAGGTTTTTGGGGCATATTATGTTGTAACTACAATAAGGAACCACCAAAATAGTGTTGCTATGATTTAGGCCCCTATAATATAGTAGACACCCAAAGGAACCCTATTAATGATTACAAAATTTCGCAGGGCCTATGGAGCATCGCGGGACTTTGCCAGCCTGAGGTTTAAGGTTTAGGGTTTTCCTAGGGTTTCGGGTATGCAGGTTCAGGGGGAAACCCATCAACAAAAAGACATGTTTTTCAATCAAAAAAAAACTTTCAGCGAAAATAAAAGAACTTTTTCACCAATCAAAAAAACTTTTTCCAATCAAAAAAAACTTTCTCCATGTGTAGTAGTAGTAGTAGTAGTAGTACTACTACTACTACTACTACTACTAGTACTGGTACTAGTACTGGTACTAGTACTAGTAGTAGTAGTAGTAGTAGCAGCAGCAGCAAGAGTAGTAGTAGTAGTAGTAGTAGTAGTAGTAGTAGTAGTAGTAGTAGTAGTAGTAGTAGTAGTGGTAGTGGTAGTGGTAGTGGCAGTGGTAGTGGTAGTGGTAGTAGTAGTAGTAGTAGTAGTAGTTGTTGTTGTTGTTGTACTAATAGTATAGTTAAATCATGGCGAAGCGTAGGGCCAGGTGCCAGCTCTGCAGTGAACGCCTTTAACCGAGGCCCACAAGGGGGAGAGAAAAACAAAAAAGGCAAAGCAAAAAAGAAGGTCAAAAAAATAGGGTCCCCTCCTTCCTGCCTTCCTTCCTGTCTGCCTGCCTGCCTGCCTTCCTTGCTGCCTTGCTTCCTTCCTTGCTTCCTGCCTTCATTCCTTCCTTTCTTCCTTCCTTCCTTCCTTCCTTCCTGTCTGCCTGCCTGCCTTCCTTCCTTGCTGCCTTGCTTCCTTCCTTGCTTCCTGCCTTCCTTCCTTCCTTCCTTCCTTCCTCGCCCTTTCTCCCCGCCTTCCTTCCTTCCTTCCTTCCTTCCTGCCTTCCCTCCTGCCATCCTTCCTTGCTGCCTTTCTTCCTGCCTTCCCTCCTTCCTTCCTTCCTTCCTTCCTGTCGTGCTTCCTTTAATAAGGGAAAGTTTTTTTTGAGTGGATTTGTTTTTTGATTGAAAAAAAGTTCTTTTTTGATTGGCATCCCCAGGTTCAGGGTTTTAGGGTTTAGGGAGCCCCTTGTAGGATCCATCTTTACTGCCTGACGGCAGAGAGGTCATTAGCAGGGCGTCCCCCTCGTCACTGCAGTCGCCTGCTCCGTTGAGGGCCTCGCTTTGAGCGCCAATGTAAATGGTCAGCAGGGCTACTGTACTGTACCCCTGATTGAGAACCCCCCTCTCCTTCAACCAGGACTGGAACACGGATCCGTATTCTCGGGCCCTTGAAGAAAAGCGGTTTGTTGAAATTGTCGTAGAAGTCATAAACCCCCAGACCGAAATCCTGACCCCTAGAAGCCAAGCTTGAAACCCCAACTCTTTAAGTCCTCAGTCCTTGATGATGCACCAAAGCCGGAGCGCCAGCCGCTGGGAACTTTGTTTTGACAGCCTCCTGATTTCGGATTCAAGGTTTAGGGGTCTCAGGTTCGAATCTGACAAGGAGTACGCGGTTCAGTTGAGGACGGTAGAAGGGCTGATTATGGGGTTTCGGGATTCAGAAGTGAGTGGAGGGTGCTGTAGCTTGCGAGGCTGCCTTTCAGATGTCCATCTCTCTGAAAAATACGGGCCGTCTAACAATGGACTTCAAGAAGGGATGCCCGAAAGTTTACACCTGGTATCTCCAGCCCCGTCTCGACAGAACGGTGAAGGACCCTAGACCCTAGGCCTCAGGGGATAGGTGTCTGGGGCATTCTAGGGATCGGGGTCTAGGGCCAGTTTTGAGGAAACACCCGCTAAAAAAAAAACCTTTGTGGGGACCCGTAGTGCATCACTAAAACGCGCCAAAACCTAAACCCTACACCCTAAACCCTAAATCCTAAACCCTAAACTCCTAAACCCTAAATCCTACACCCCAAACCCTAAATCCCCTTAGAACCCCTCAGGCCCTTAGGACAGCCGAGGCAAGAAAGGCCTGAATGAAGGAGCTCCCGCTTTGGAGGACCTGGCAGTCTGCAGAAAATGGGTTTACTTACCTTTTGTTAGTAGGGAATGGAGGAATGGGGTACAATTATAACTACTATTACTACGATTCCTCCATTCCCTACTAACCAGAGGTAAGTTTAGGGTTGAGGGGTTTAAGGTTTAGGGATTCCTTTAACCCATAGTTATCAGGATCTAGAAGGGCTTAGAGGTAGTTTGGTTCTCTAAATGGGTTCGGGAGTTCTAGGTTAGGGGTTTTTGGGTTGATTCTTCAGAGTTGTGGGTTATGGGTTTACGTTAGAGGGTTCTACATCTATGTAGGCTGCTCATTCTTGGTTCTTTACACCCCCCCCCCCCCCACGCACACCGCCAAGACCCTAAACCCTAAACTGGCCCTAAACTCTAAACCCTAGCCCTGTTTTCTCTTTTTGGAAACTCCAACCTGCCCGGCAATCGTGGCGGCCACCCTCGCAAATCCCTCAAGGAAGTCGGCGAGGACGTCATTCATTTTGTTGAAGTAACCTCAAGGCGGCTCTTTGCAGGGCTTCGGGGTTTGTTTAGTGTTTGGGGCGCTAGGGTTCTAGCGTTCAGCTCTGCAGGCTGTTACAGGGTTGAGCTAGGTTGACGTACTTACCCAGACCTGTTAGTTCTGTAGTGCGAAGCCGCCCCTGTTATTCGGGTGGGAAGCATCACGAAAAAATGGACATCTTGACTATGCATCATCACTCCTGTAGGAAAGGACCCTAAACCCCAATATAGGGGCATTAATGATTAGAGTAGGGTTCTGGGGCCCATTGTACTGTAGTTATAATAAGGAACCCCCCCCAGGATAGTATTGGCATTTATTTCGGCTCCTACACTAAACCCTAAACCCGGACTTCGTGGCTCCAAGTAGCTCAGGGGTGGCACGAAGTTGATGATCTTGTTGCCGAGGCAAGTCACCAGCCCATTTGAGGACTTTTGGGTGCAGTGAACGAGCTCCTGTGTTCTTGATGACGGTTTAGGGTTTAGGGAACGAGCTCCTGTGTTCTTGATGAGGGGCTTAGAAACATAAGGAGTTTTCGGTTTAGTTTAGGGTTTTGGAACTTAAGGAGTTTTGGGTCTAGGGCTTTGGAACTTAAGGGGTTTTGGGCTTAGGCTTTTGAACTTAAGGTATGTCGCCATTTCTCCTCCCGACCTCTCTGCGTAAGACGTCCTCGCCCCTTTTCGGTGCTCAAGAATTGAATCAAATCCTTTCGAATGTGGTGGGTGTTAACTTTGCTTTTTTCTTGTTTTGCACGGAGCTTCTACAATTTCACGGAGCTTGCACAGTTTTAAACCAGCTCCAGGGATTTAAGCTGTAAGACTCGGGAAGGGGAACTTGCATTGCGGCGAAACCCGCAAAACCCGTCTCAAGCCTTGCCTACAGGACGAATTTGAACCTCCCATGCACTTACCCTAAACCCTAAAACCTGAAGCCCGAAACCCTCAAACCCTGAAACCCCTAACCCTAAGCCCTCCAGCGAGAGCCCAGGCTCATGACCCATGTCGTGGACCGCCTTCAACGGAGGGATGCCGTTCCTGGGCTCTGGGACTTGGAGGTTCATGGGTTTAAGGTTTAGGGTGTGTAACAGTATGCGCGCGGTGGGTGCGCCTTTTACTGGGGGCGCACCCACTTATCGCGCGCTTGCGTCAGCATGTAGTCCCGCCCCAACCACCCCAACTATTCTCAATTGGGGTTTAGGGTTCACCCCCCAAACCCCCCTCAAGGGGAGCTTTCTTGCTCTATACTTCCGCAGGTGCTAGAACACAAGATGTGGCAACAAAAACCCAAAGAAGTTTCGGACCGATCATGAGGAGACACATTAGTATGAATGCAAACATGCCCTTTGTCATCCATGCCTGCAATTCATTGCTGTTGCTACTTCGATGCAATTGCTATTTCTTTCGCGCCACGGGGCCTTCAGCTTCTGTCCACTACAGCCGTGTGCTCACCAGCGGAAAAGATTGTAACACAGGCCATACTAAACAAACCGCAATTGCGTGACACCTTCGGCGGAGTTTGGCCTTCCAGCTACGACTGCGGTATAGTACATGGTCTATGAGGCTGACAGCCGTCCCAATCAGTGGGCGGGCAGGAAATGCTTGGTGCTTACCAGTCCGGCGATGAGATAATCATTACAGATAATCCTCATCCCTTTGCACCCTCGACATGGCGACGGAAGCAGCTGCGCGGCAGCCTGGGTGGTCTAGCCACAGAGTCACATGAGGGCGCGTCATTCCTTGCACCTTTCGCACTTTGGAAGCGTACCCCAGTCGCACAGGGAAGGCTGCCACCTTTCTGCCGTCGTCCAACTCGTGAGTCATGTAGACAGCGAGGCACTGGTTGGTGCGGGTGAGGACTTGCAGGCAGCGGCTGCGCCCGTCGTAGTCTTCGACCTTTGCGGCCATGCCGTTCACGAAGTCATCCTCCTCCCTAACTAAAACGCAGTTAAAAGCTTTGGGAAGCCTTAGGGGACGCGTCTGTCTACCCTCTGGCCGTCCTTGGCTTCCTTAAAATGCAGTTAAAGGCGCCTTGGAGACGCGTCTGCCCTTTTTCCTGGCCGTGCTTGGCTCCCTTAAAAGCATTTAAAGGCTTCCAAAAGCCTTGGCACGCGTCTGTCCCCTGTCTAGCGGTCCGTGGCTGCTTTGACAAGTAATTGAAGGCTTTGGGAAGGTTTGGGGACGCGACTGTCCCCCCTCTGGCTGTCCTTGGCTTCCTTAAAAAGCCAAAAAAGCCTTTGGGAAGCCTTGGGGACATGTCTGTCCCCCGTCTGGCCGTCGTTGGCTTCCTTAAATAGCAATTAAAGGCTTTGGGCAGGGAAGCCTTAAAGGACGCGTCTGTCCCCCGCTCTGGCCGTCCTTGGCTTTCAGTTAAAGGCTCTTTGGAGACGCATCTGTCCCCCTTGCTGGCCGTCCTTGGCTTCCTTAAATTAACCGCTTCCAAAGCTTTGTCGGACCGTCCTTGGCTGCTTTGAAAAATAATTGAAGGCTTCGGGAAGCTTTGAGGACGCGTCTGTCCCTTCGCTGGCTGTCCTTGGCTTCCTTACAAAGCAAAAAAAGTTTGCGGAGCCTTGGGGACGCTGCCTTTCAAAAGAAGGGGCAGGCGGCAGGGCAGGGGGCAGGGAAGGGCAGGGAGGGCAGGGCAGAGGGCAGGGCAGAGGGCAGGGCACTCTGGGCAGTTTAGGGTTTAGGGTGTAGGGGTAGCTATACGTGGGGATATAAGTACCCTAGTATGGGTTATAATCACAGTTACCATACTTATAACTCCGCCTATAACTACCCACGAACCTCCAAGGAGGCTCTGCAAACTTGTCATGGTCGGAATAGAGTGTCACAGTCGCCCCTCAATGCAGGGTATATGGTTCAACAGGATCGAAAAGCGTGTTCTCATTGGCAGGACATTCATCTGTTCATGCGTAAGAATTTTCCGATTCCAAACGCGCTCGGAATCCCAAATCCCTAAACACTAAACCCTGAAGCCCTAAACCTACAAAGTCCCAAACCCTCTGAACACTAAACCCTAAAGCCCTGAACCCTACTAAACCTATAGCCCTGTAGGCCGAGGTACACGATAGATCCGCCCAGGCATGTCACCATTCCTCCCCCGTCCCTCTGTGTGCAGGACGTCATCGCCTTTTGTAGGGGTTTCAGGATTTCGGGTTGAGGGTTTGCGGATTTGGTTTGATTTCAAGCTTGCACTAAGCTTTAACCAAGAACCTCGTCAGGCCTTATAGTCCGTACAAGACTCGTAAAAAAATCGCACGAAGTTTCTCAACAAGAGCCAAGGCTCATGACCCAAGTCGTGGGCCGCTTTCAACGGAGGGATGCTGTTCCTGGGCTTGTCTGGGCGGCTCTGCGAACTTGTCATGGTCGAAAGAGTGTGTAACGTTTAACAGTGTCCGTTTAGGGTTTAGGGTGTTCGAAAACCGTGTTCAAATTTGTGAACCCGTAAAACTAATCCAATGTTTACCCGCTGTCTCGCTAGAAGCTCTATAACCCCCTCAAGAATAAGGCATAACGCTGTGTGAAAACCGTATCAAGCTGCGTAATTAAATGTCAAAAAACACAAGGTCTAACCAACCCAAACATGATCCCGGCAAGAGAATGAAGCCCTAAACCTACCAACTCCAAAACCACCTAAACACTAAACCCTAAAGCCCTGAACCTTTCTGAAACCTATGAAGCCCCATAGGCCGAGGTACACGATAGATCCGCCCAGGCATGTCAACATTCCTCCCCCGTCCCTGTGTGGGCAGGACGTCATCGCCTTTTGTAGGGGTTTCAGGATTTCGGGTTGAGGGTTTGCGGATTTAGTTTGATTTCAAGCTTGCACTAAGCTTTAACCAAGAACCTTGTCAAGCCCTATAGTCCGTACAAGACTCGTAAAAAATCGCACGAAATTTCTCAACAAGAGCCAAGGCTCATGACCCAAGTCGTGGGCCGCTTTCAACGGAGGGATGCTGTTCCTGGGCTTGTCTGGGCGGCTCTGCGAACTTGTCATGGCCGAAAGAGTGTGTAACGTTTAACAGTGTCGGTTTAGGGTTTAAGGTGTTCGAAAACCGTGTTCAAATTTGTACACCCGTAAAACTAATCCAATGTTTACCCAGAAGGCGCCGCTGTCTCGCTAGAAGCCCGATAACCCCCTCAAGAATAAGGCACAACACTGTGTGAAAACCGTATCAAGTTGCGTAATTAAATGTCAAAAAACGCAAAGTTTAACCAACCCAAACATGATCCCGGCAAGAGAATGAAGCCCTAAACCTACCAACTCCAAAACCACCTAAACACTAAACCCTAAAGCCCTCAACCTTTCTAAACCTATGAAGCCCCATACGCCGAGGTACACGATAGATCCGCCCAGGCATGACGCCATTCCTGCCCCGTCCCTATGCGGGCAGGACGTCATCACCTTGTGTAGGGCTTCCGGCTTTCGTTTAAACTCCAAAAGCCCTTGTCAAGCCTTATAGTCCGTACAAGACTCGTATAAAAATCCCACGAAGTTTCTCAAAAAGAGCCAAGGCTCGTGACCCAAGTCGTGGGCCGCTTGCAACGGAGGGAGGTTGTTCCTGGGCTTTCGGTTTAGGGGTTAGGGTGCAGGAGTCAGGGTTCAGGGCCCTGCAGAATTGACATGGTCGGAATAGCAAGAAATAGTGTCCTCTCCTACCCCCAAAACCTTCCAATGTCTCACCACAAAAACCCCGCTGCCCCGCCCCCGCAAGCTGTATAACCACCTGGAAAACAAGGTATGAAGCTGTGTGGATCCAATATCAAACTGAGTGCAATCCCCTAAGCCCTATTGAACCCTATAAAGCACTTAGAGGCTTCCTTAAAAGAGCCCTTAAAAAACTAAGCTCTGCACCCCTCAAGGAACCCTTAAACCCTAAACCCTAAGCCCTTAAAGGAACCCTTAAACCCTAAACCCGTACAGGAACCCTTGAAGGAAGCCGAGGTGCACGATCTTCCCGCCAAGGCAGGCGAGGAAGGATGCTCCCGTCCCCGGACTGCAGGTCCCCAACTCCTCTTAGGCTTACGATAGCGGCCTAAAGAAGTAGATTAGGGCTCCCTTCAAAGCGGTTCCCTGAAGGGCTCTATAAGGGATCTATAGTGGGGTTCGTTCAGGTAGTATAGATGGTTTAGGGTTTAGGATAGGGGCTTAAATAATTACCAATACTATTGTGGGTGTTCCTTCATACATTTATCGTATACTGGGCCCCAACACCCGATTCTAATCAGTAAGGATCCTATATTGTTACGATTCGGGATTATGGTTTAGGGTTATGGTTTAGGGTTCAAGGATCAGGGTTAGGGGTAAGGGTTCAGGGTGAGGGTTTCGGGTTTAGGGTTACATTCTTGTTTGGTCTCCTTGGGGTTTCTTTGTGGTTCGGGATTAGGGTTTAGTGCACCTTACATTTGTAGACTCCACATTATGATTCTTTTGCGTTTCTTCGGGCTTCTTTGGATTGGGTTGTTTTTTTTGGAGCCCCTTTTTCACCCAGCAATCCAGTCTGCTCGATAAAGGCCACAGAGGCCCGGGGATGAGCGACAGCCCAGCACTCGGAAGAAAGTATACCCTTACCAGTACCTCTCCCCCAAAGCCCTCTCAGACGTCACCCAGGGTTGGGTTAGAGGTTATGGCTTGCTGCATGGTTTAGGGTTTTGGGTTATGGTTTAGGGTTTATGGTTTAAGGCTTAGGGTTACGATGGAGCAGTTTAGGGGCTTCGGGCGTTTAGGGTTTGGGGCTCAGTGTGTTTAGGGTTTCACAAAAGGCTGCCTTGGCGCCTGCGAAGGGCTACCGCGGGGCCTGCATTTGTGTCTTTTGGCAGGTTTCACGGTATTGCAGGCGTTCTCTCCTGGAAGGGCTAAGAGCTTACCTGGACCCTATATATCCGAATTCCAAACTTTGATTTCCTTATATATGAGACGATAAATGGTAAGTTATTTGGGGTAGGTGTTACAGTTCTGAGCAGAGGGTTTAGGGCGTTTAGGGGTGCAAGGGTTCGGCGTAGCGATTAGGGGTTGGGGGGCGCAGCCCTACTGGATGCTATCAGGGTTCTTGAATCGTCTTGCAAATCTTTACAGTATATAGAGATAGCAACAAATACGCTGTCCTTATGAGGGTTGTTGGGCTCACTAATCCCCGAGCCCTGAATCCTGAACCCAGCTATGGTCGTAAGGAGAGCCCTGTCCTGACCGATTTTCGTGACGGAATAAAGCCTGTGTTCAGGGCTGGATTTACAGCTCAGGGCTTACCTTCACAAGCAAAAAACATGTTGTGCGTTTACATCCAATATTCAGTTCGGGACATAAGTCCTTCACATTCTTTCGGCTGTTATGGTAGATTCAGAAAACACATCACGGAGGATCTGTGAATCCCTGGAAGACCTTGACCCTCTGGACGTTGAGGTGCCATCAGCCCTGAACCACAAAGCATAAACCCTAGACCCCAAATCGTAAACCCTCATCCCTGAACCCTAAACCCCATGCCATAAACCCTCAACCACACAAACCCGAGACCCTAAATCATAAGCCCTGAAGCTCAAACCCTAAAGAGGCCCCCATGAATCGATCCAGGGAGCGGTTCGGGGAAGGGAAGGTTGTAGGTAGGCCAGTGGAAATGGAAGAGTTGTAATTGCTGTCCCACAAGGCTCATGGTGCAGATCTCAGGGTTCTTAGTGTTTAGGGATATTAGGGTTTAGGGCTATTGGGGTTTAGGGTTATTAGGGCTTAGGGTTATTAGGGGTTTAGGGTTAATAGGGTTTAAGCTTTTAGGATTTGGGGTTATTGTGGTTTAGGGTTATTTGGGTTTAGGGTTATTAGGGTTTAGGGTTGAAGATAGCCCCCGAAACTGAAACCCCAAAACTCCCAAACCATAGCTGTGCTTGTCGGGTTTAGCTAGGGCGTAGGGCTGCTTTGCCTTCCCTTACTAGACAAGTTGCGAAGGATTCCGCTGAATAGTGCCTTTGGGTACCTAAACCGTAAACCCTCAACCCTAAACCCCAAGCCGGGAACCACAACCTCCTCTTGCGGACTTGACGCACGGAGTATGCAAGCTGTAACCGGCCAACTTTTTGTTAACAAATTCACCAGGCAACATCACTTACTGAAAAATTTCGCGGAATGGATTCCCACCTCATCTTTGATTTGCGTCGTATGTTTATTTGCGAGACATCGTAAGTTAACGAAAGCCTCTTTAACTATCTCCGATTGCCTAGTTATGCTTCGTAACAAATGCCCCTACACTGGAACTACCCACTTTGAGCAACCCCCCGCCATGGCGCCGAAGAAGACGTGGAATCCATGGGTTGAAAACGTGGCAGTGGGAGTGACGACAGTGCCTTATTGGTCCGGTTGCCTAGACGAAACAATGCTTAACCTTAGGGAATACATAGGGGTTGTAATATAGGGGCCTTAATAATTAGAATGGGGTTTTGGGGGCCCCCTATACTATAGTTACAAGAAGGAACCCCAAAATAGTATAGGTAATTATTTAGGCCTCTACAGTAACACAACCTAGCGGTTTAGGGCTTTAGGGGGTTTAGGGCTTTAGGGGTTGGGGTTTACGGGAAGCCGAAAAATCATACATTCCTCGGGTTACAATAACACAAAGAAGTTAAAGCTTTCTCATGCTTCCACACCAAATAGCACCATGCCCGGAAATCAGTGAATCCACGAAGAAGGATGTCCATCGCCTCAGGGGAGGCCAGGGTTCGAAGGTGCAGGGTTTTGGGTTTAGCGGTTTAGGGTTAAGGGTTTGGGGTTTAGGGCTCAGTGTTTGGAGTTAAGGGTTTTCGTGTTTCGTTTTGAAGGTTTAGGGTTCGGAGTTTAGGGTTGAGCGTTTGGGATTTAGTGTCCGGGGTTGAAGGCTTACCAACAGTAACACCCTTTTGTCGAGGAGTCTCAGTACAAACTTTAAACTATGTGATACAGACTTTAAGCTATGTAGGGCTACTACGTATGATTCAAGGCCTACTCGGTGATTCAATCATATGGGAGTTTCCGAAAAATATAGTACCCAAAAAGTAGGATCCCTATTCAAGGACCCCAAAATAATTAAGGTACCCCTAGTTTTCGGAAACCCGAAACCCTAAACCCTAAAGTCTGTTTGACCACCGCTTGGACACGAAGGGCCTGTAGAGGATCCCTCTAGCAGAATGCTACCAGGTTTTTGAGTTTGATATTGGCGGCCTTCTTCTTCTGCGCAGGGCGTAAAGTCCGAGGGACGTGCCCATTGCTAAACGAAGTCAGCCTGGGGCTCAACTACCGCCTAATATGCACTCGCAAATGTGCTTTGCAGAAGTGGGGCAGAAATCTAGGCGGTAGGAGCAGGCAGGCATGCAGACACCCGTAACCCAGCAGTGCAAAAGCTGTAAGATGCCTGCCACAACCTGCGACAAAACTTAAGCCAAAAAGGGTCACATGCGAACGTGACTCAAGTCGAAGTTTGCCCTCAACTTGCATCCACAAACGCCGTGGGCGTCCAACTTGTTCCTAGTGGTCCGGTGCCTCCTTTGCCTGCACCACAAACACCGAACTCTTCACATCTTGTGCAGCGGGCGGCAGGCTGCTTGATTCGCCGGGACTGAGCCGACGATCTTATCCCCAATCGCGAACTGTTCACGAGCGTTTCGTGTCGCAGCACCTTGAGCTATGCCAATACCCATGTCACTGAAAGAAGCAGTCGAGACATCACCACGACCGACCATATTGTCCGAAGGCACTCATCCTCCGGTGTGAGGTTGGATGCCGAATCCGAGGCAAACGGTCGATCTGTACGCCGCCCTGACTGCACCAGGGTTTCTCGCAGTCATCGCAGTGGTCACCCGTCCAGTGGAAGAGGATCCGCCCTCGGGCGAATTTCTCAGGAGGAACAGGCCCTAAAATGCTGCTAACACTTTGAATCGAAAACCTTTTTCCGGCTTTCCTCGCAACCGGCCCGAGTCCGACAAGGCTCCCGAACTAAGGATTGCGCAACTCAGCTAGTTTGTCAGTGGGCAGTTCGCTCAAGCCACATCCCACCACCATACTAGACATAATAGTCTCCATAGCCTGCTCGGCCAGGAACCGGATGTGTGGTTTGCAGCCCGAGAGATCGAATCCTGTACGCTGCTCCAAGCCCAAGCGAAGAGCCTGTAAGGAGATGAGCCTGCGGTCCATAAACAGGGGCATCATGACAGCAGCAATGTGCTCACTGAGTAAGGCCTCCGTCTCAGTCTTCATGGCGAACCCCATACCCCGCAGGGCAGCGAATTTGGTTCTGGGGCTCCAGGCAATGCAAGTCCGCTGGTGGACTGCTCGATCCCGAACCCTATATTAGGGGTGTGTTCCCTTGAAGGCTTCCTTAAAGGGCTCTTTAAGGGATCTATAGTAGGGTCCTAAATTATGGGCCTTAGTAATTAGAATCGGGTTTTTGGGGATAGTATGGGTAATGACCAGTTTACGTGAGAACAGGGGGCCTTGCCCACGGTGTCGATGACCGTATTGGCAACAAAGGCGATCTGGTCCGTGGCGTGTTCATAGGCATCGCCCAACGCATCCCCAACGAGGCCTGCGCCACTGGTAACAGCATCCTCACCAGCCTGCTTGGAGTGTTCTTGAAGGGGTCTATAAGGGATCTGTTGTAGGGTTCTGTGCTATAGGGGCCTTAATGATTCCCTGAACACCCCTGTACTACTTTGGGGTGTTCAAGGGTTAAGGGATTTAGGGTCAGGGATTTATGGAGCTTAGGGGTTTAAAGGGCTTTAGATCTTAGGGATTAGCGCCTGCGCAACATCGCCAACGACTGGAATGCTCTTGATGAAACCCCACTCGGCTTCCTGCATCGGTGGGTTCTGTGCTGTGGTCACGACTGAGACGCCTGCCATGGCCAGCTTTCTTTATTGTCTTCGTCGACTAGGCCTCCGCATTCTCGATCCTAAACCCTAAATACCTCATTTGGGGATCCTTATAGTGAGGATCCTACTATTTAGAGTACTAGATTATAAGGGTCCCCCATTTTCGGAAACCCCCCAAATCCTCCATGGTATCCTTGTTGTCAGTCCAATGAGAACAATACTTCTTCAGTGCTCTAGCAGACCGAAGAAAGCTCAACACTTGCATTTCCGGTTAAGGTTTAGGGTTTAGGGATGATATCAGTGTGCACACCCAAACAGTTAAACAGTGACACCTAACCGCCACGGCCCTGATGACAATGTCCTGCTAGGACCACTACAACACTAGGACCATCACGATGACAACGATGGCCACTTTACCAGTGAGCTGTGAACCCCACGATTTGTATACATCTTCGGTTGCGAGTCATAACTATCTTAAACACGGCAAGGCAGATGCTACAGAACCACTCCTCGCCAGATCTCGCATCCGATGACTGTCGGCGCTCGAGCAAGCTGCTGTCTGGGTCCTGCACCTTCTTGTTGGGCTTGGGACGTTTGGCACGAGCCGGCCGTGCTGAGGGTTCCATCCCTTCCGTCGCCTTTATCGATGAGTCGAAGGTCCGCTTCTCCATCTGATGCAGGTGCTTCTTGAAGACACTTTTCAGAATCGTCTGCGCCTGCCGCGACTTTGCCTCCTCCTGCTGCTTCAACTCCAGAAGCGACAGCTGGGGCGTCTCTGTGTCGTGTTCCACCTCAAGGTGGCCGTCGAACTTCGCGTTCAGCTTGTTGATTTCAAGCTGCTGGATCTCGACGACAGTCTCCTTCATGAGACTTGCTCTGCACAAACAGTGTCTCGAGCACCCGACACGACACACCGGAAACTGCCTAAATCTTATGCGGCCAGGTCTCCAACTGCGCCACCTTCAGCATAAAGAACTCCAACTTTTCCGCCAATCCTTCGAATCCCTTCGTTACGTTGGTGTCGTTTCCAGCTCCTCACCAGGTCATGTCTTCAGAGCTCTCTGTTGGGCCTCTCAGGCTCATTTTTAGGGGTTTGTTTGGGTCTGAGGCTTCATTTGCTACCGTCGTCGCTGGCTCCTTCTCCTTCGGCTTCTTCGATGACCTCTGGCTTCTCCACCGTCTCAGCATCTTCCACGTCATGCAGAAGATTATTCTGCACGATGTTCTCCACAGTCGCAGTGCCGTTCTCTGAAAGGTTGGCCTCAGCTCTGCAGCTCCCTGCGCTACGAATAAAGGGGCCTTAATAATTAGAACAGCGGTTTGGGGACATTATACTATATATAAGAAGGAACCCCCACAATAGTATTGGCAATTATTTAGGCCCCTATATTCTACCACAGGAAGTGCCTTATACTTAGAACGGGGGTTTGGAGCACGTTTTGCTTTTCCTAGAATGATAAGGAATCGAAAGCGGGAATCGTATGTACTCCTCTCTTTTCACCTACATTGGTCAGTTTCTGGAGTTCTTGAGATGCCAGACCTGAAATTTCTAGAATGTGTAAGGTTCATGCGCTGGCTGCACAAAAATCGACCCGAGCAAGAAGGTAGCAAAAGCCTCGAAGGAATACACTCGTAGTTTGAGGCTTAGGGCTGTCGTGTTCAGCGGTTTACGTGGTGAGTTTGCCAGCCGCTGAAAAGCAAAGATCTTGCAATCCATGTTGTGTCCCTGGGGTGAGACTCAAAATGTTGCGGTCGGCAAAATTAGTATATCCTTGTAGTCCCGATATAGTTAAAGCATAATATACCCCAAAACCCGGTTCAGCAAAACACCCGTATAGTAACCCTTCAGGAACCTTTGCATAAGGGGGCCCGAGTCGAACCAGTAATGCCCCTGCTATTTATAGGAGCCTTGATAACTAGAACAATGGCGTTTTGGGGCCATTAAACTATATTTAAATACTAGGGAACCCCAAAGTAATATACTTGGAGGCCCCCAAACTCGTATGGGCCTTTTCTTTGCATGCCAGAGCCCAGTGGCTCCACCGGTGACATCGAATCCAGCCGGGTTGTTCTTCTGGTTGGTGAACCTGAGGCTTCATCATCCACCACCATCATCCATCACCATCACCACCATCATCACCATCATTATCATCATAACTATCATCATGGCCACTATCATGAATGCACTTGTTCGCGGCCAACATAATCGTCAGCAACAGCAGCGGCAACATTGCAGTCATCATCATCATCATCCACACCATCATCATTGATGATGGCTATCATCATGTCAATGTCGATGGTGCTGGTGATTACGCTGATCATGAGCATGAGCACGACCATGCTCATGGCGATTTTATGTGATTTCGATGTTGAAGATGATGGTCATTATGACAAACAGATGCAAGGCCGCGTCTGGGAATAGTTGGTCTGAAATCAGGATTTCGGATTCGCAACTTCGTGTCCTCATTCTGCTTGTTCCATGTTGCGCTGGCAGGCCTAGGGGGTGGAGCTGACGTTCAGGGTTTAGGGTTTATGGCTTCAGGGTTTTCTACTTGTCGAGTAACCTTTGGGGGTGAGTTTATGGGAATTCTAGTACCCCTGAAAAGTTAAAGGTTACCTACTCTGCTTTTAGGTTTTACAGGGTTTGAGGTTTACCGGCTCAGGGCTGTACAAGGATGTATACAGCGCTCACAGGACATGTATACAGGCTTTGCCGGGCATTGGGATTCTGCCTTACAGGAAGGCTTCGTAAGGAGTCCAACCTACCGGAGAAGATAAGCTACCTTCCTCAACAAGAACGAAGGAGCCGAGTGCTGGTCTTCATGGCCAGCATCGGCACGATCATCAGTGCCAGCGGCACTAACATGGCTTGCTTCATTTGTTGGGTAATTTAAAACAGAGCGACTAAGAGCAATCGCGAAAGGCACAGGTCGGTCCTGCGGCTTGAGCGCGGCGACACGGAAAGCTCTGGACCACCTTAAAACCGTATGTCTGAAGCACTGAGACTCCAAGCCCTAAACCCCGCAACCGTACATCCCAAGACCCGGAAACCTGAACCTGACAGGCTACACCAAGCCCCATGCAGGTGTCTTCTATCCCCTAAGGTCCCGGCCCCCCCTGTGCGAAAGATCTTCGCTTTCAACACTACAACGAAGATGTCAACCAGTGGCCACCACACACCGTCACCCCCAGAAGCCTAGATCCCTGAACCCTTTAGCCCCGTAACCCTCAACCCTAGGCCCGAAATCCTCAGCCCCAAGCCCTATGTATCCTAAACCTAACAAAGTTCTAAGCGCTGAGCCTACATTCTGGCTTCTACTTTGGGTTCTTGGCACCTCTGCAGTGTTATAGAGCTTCGGCGGCTAGGGTTTAGGGCTTAAGGCTTTCAGGAACTAAATTGGCCTGAGTATAGACTCTTAGCAATAGAATCCTTATTGACATATGTGTTTCGTGACCAAAAAATCCGGGTGGTTCGGAAAGATTGGTGTACATGCTGAAGAATAGAGCTCATCTTGTAAAGGAACAGGGGCCCGGACCGTATGAGCGCATGATGAATATGTACTCTAGAGGCATACGTAGTACCGAATCAGGTCCTGCTACATGTGCATTCATGATAACCCGATAAAACTACCTTTCATCTTGCTGTTCAGAAATCTGTAACAAACCCTTTCCATTTCGTAAACCCTAACCTGGGCTTCAAAGAAACCTAACTGGGTAAGGAGGTTTATAAGGATATTCCAATACATAAAGATCGTCAAAAAGGTAGGTTCTATAGGGTACAGACAATCCTTTCAAGCAAACTCGGCAAAGAGGGCTGAAGCTCGTGGAAGTTAAACTGGGTTTTGGGTATGGGTGCGGTTTTTCAGGTCCTGGCAACTCGAATTCTACATCATCAAGCTGAGGGCTTTGTTCTAAAGCTGCAATGTGCTCATGTAGCTTAGGGCTTAGGGCTTGGGGTGCAGGGTTTTGGGCTTGGGATTCAATGTTTAATGCTTAAACGCTGAGGATTTTAAGGGTTTGGGAGGTTTCGAGTGCTGGAGGTTCCGGGGTTATCTTCGGGTTTCAAGCCTAGGGCTAGGGTTTAGGGTTTAGGGATTAGGGTTTAGGAGTTATAGGGTTCAGGGGTTAGGGTTTAGGGCAAAGTTGCGAACAAAGGTCCGAGCGCGCGCACACACACACACACACACACGCGCGTGCAATTAGAGTCGGGTGTTGGCGGGGTGCTTTGCTCTGCGTTTTTTACATGCGTTTTTTAGGCGGAACTATACTTTTTGTAAAGGGTCTTTAGCATAATAAATCCTAAACCGTGAAGTCCGGTATCTCCACGCGCCTTCGGTGAGTTCAACGAGCCGGCCGGCTCTTGACCTTTTTGTGGGTTTGGGGCTGAAACAGTGTAGGGTTCAGGGCTTGGGCTTTAGAGGGCTTAGGGTTTCAGGATTAGGCTTCAGAGGATTTGGGCATCGGGGCTTCGGCTTTAGAGCGTTTAGGGTTTAGGTTGGATACTGCCCCGATACAGTAACAGTCTATAGTAAGGCTACTATTAAGGGCCTAGTATATCTATATTATGAAGATTATCCAACTGTTACTGAGTGGGGGCAGTACCCAAGGTTTAGGCTTCACCAGTAGAGGGCCTGCAAGGACCGGATGAACAATAGGATCTAAACTTCCATGACTAACATCTCCACCCCAAATGTGCACTCACCAAGCTTTCACACGAAGCCCTTGTGTATATATATATATATACATATAGCAAATAGGTTATTTTGTATATATATATATAGACAAGTATATGCATATGTACACCCTCACAAGCTTTTCAAGACAAACCCAACTCCAGATAAATGGAGCCCGATCTTTCAGAAACCCTTCTTGTGATGTCCGGGGGTCTGGGATCAGAGGGTCTCAATTCTGAAGCAAACAGGAAGTAAATCCAAGCTTAAGCTTTAGGGGGTTTAGGGTTTGGAGTTTTAGGGTTTAGACTGAAACTGAAGTGCACACAGTGAAAAACCTTGCCAACTTCCCAATACAAGATGGGAACAAGCCAAGCCAAACAACTCTGCAGCAGAAAACCCTAAGAGCCATAACGCCCTGAATCCCGACGACGCGAGCTCCCGGTCCGTTGACCTTCAAGTTTGGAGACAAGATCGTGCCCGACAGACAGACTCCAGATTTCACAGAGTTAGTGTGCAAGAAACCTTAAACCGTAAACCCTAAAGCCCTAAACTCTCAACCCTAAAGCCTAAACCTTACACCCTAAACCTGTGCGGACAAAGCTGCTTTGGCCAACAGCACTCTGTGGAACCGTGAAACTATCTGAGCCATGTTGTAAGGGAGCCTTCAGTTCGAATTACATACAACTCCCAGCCCATCACTTAACTATGCGTGTATACATATAATACATGTATACATGTATATATACATGCATACAGTTGTTGTATATCTCCATATCTATATGAAAGCGAGAGAAAGAGAGACGGACAGTATCTACATATTCTGAATTCCTGATTGCGGTAACTTAAGTTGCCTTAAACCATAAAGGCTAAAACCCCAAACTCTGACCCCCAAGCGGTTTACTCTACACTTTAAGCCCACCCTCGAAAAACTCCAGTAAAACGGAACCGTTACAGGAACCCAAAGAAAACCTTTGCACGAATCCCCAAGGGCACGCCTTAGCAGGAAGCAGGGGCTGCTTTGAAGGAATCCGTGTAAGGAAGTGTTTGGAGGAATCTCTAAAAGCAACCTCCTTGAAGACTCTGAAACCCTAAACCCTAAAACCCGAAAACCCTAAACACTATACCACTGTAAGGAACTCTTTGACCAAATGCCTGAAGGCACCCTGCCTACTCTTGGGAGCCTCTTTACTTGGAACAAGCCTTCATAGTTGGAACGGGGCCCCTGCATAGAAAGTTTCTTACAAGGGGTCTGTAAGGTTAACTATCAGGAGTACTGCAGGCGCTACTATAGAAGAGGAGGCTATACGGGCAACTGCAACTATAACCGTTGCTGCAGGGGCTACCAGTGGGCTTCATTAGGGGTCTTTATAACTATGCAAAGGTTATTAGGGCTTTATGGGTCGCTTCGAGGTTGTTAGCAGTTTCAACTGTCTTCAAGCTTTGCTGATGTCTTACGCATGGTGCGGTAATCGTGAGGATGTAGATTTAATTGCAGAACAAATGTACCCACTCACTCACTGACTGATGGGCACTCTCGCGATCAGACTGTCAATGGCAGGATTTTTTCGCTATGGCGGAGTGGCGGGGGGACTTGGGAACCCCCCTGTAGAGTTTAGCTCCCTTCTCTTTACACTCCGGCCTAAATTGGCTGCGAGTGTTTTCACACATATGGCTGCCTTGCTACCCTCGTGCTTGGCATGAAGAGCAACAACAACAGCGACCACCACCGTCCCCATCCTCCATCCATTACAAATTTGAAATGTAAGAGCCCATACTGCGTAGCCGGTTTGACCATGCCACTTGGATGTTCGGCTTAGAACCAAAACACCAAGAGTACCACCCGGAAAAAGGTCCTTGGACGCATTTCTGTACACCACGTTTGATACTCCGCTGTAGGGCGGGGTGGAATCCAAACGTGATCCAAGAAGGCCTGCCGAGCTTCTGGGCAACAGGTTTTCTGGTAGAACTACATGGGTGAAGAACCTGAGGATCGGCAAAATTGTCAACGAATCGCCTACTGAGTTCATTCATTGCCTCATTCATGCCTCGAGTCGTGTTGGTTAGCATCCGGACCCTGCGAGCAAGACCACAAGGCCATGATCGGTGAACATGTTGAGGATGCGCGCTCGAGGTGTCAAGAGGTTTGCTGATGTTGGAGTCGCGGTATTTGGGCATAGTTTCAAAGCGACCAGTGTTCACATTCTTTTTCACTGTGACCTCCAGGAACTGGATTTCCTCGGCATTCCATGCTTCGCATTGCACCTTGAAGAATGCAGCCAATTTTCGCAATTCCCAGAAAAACTCTTTGGCACGTTGCCTGTTGGAACCCAGGATGAGGATGTCATCCCTAAATCTCCAGTATCCGTCTATGCCGTGGTGTGCTTGAATGGTGCGCTTGACTGCCCAGGGATCTTCAGCAAGTGCTGCGAAAGCACTGTCCGCGACCTCACCCGAATGTGGCAGGCCCATCCCTGTGCCTTTAGTCACCCTCCAAATTCTTTCGGGTAATTCACGGGATTCAACGAACTGGTAGTACAGGAGTGTCATGAGTGTTGTAGTGAAAAGTGGGAGGATTTCGCTGCGAATGACTTTCGAACAAGCTCCACACAACTCCTCACTGGTGCCCGAAAGGTAGTAGTCCTTGATGTCCAGCTTCATGAAAAAGTGGTTGGGGGTCGCCGTGTAACTGGAAATGCTTTTGATGAACTGCGCGGTGTCCTTGACTAGGTACATGCGCTTGTTGAGGTCCTTCATCAGCTCATGCGAGATCCATTTACTACCTCCTGCGAACGCGTAGTCGGGGAGGGCATGGACTGGGCGATGTGATACTTCCCCGTTTGGTTTGTGGGATTTACACGTCGGTTTCAATGTAGCAATCAAGCGTCCGTGCTGCAAAGATTTCCGCAATTCCCTGGCCAGCTGGGGTTCACCACACTGTTGCGCGATCATGGAACAGATGAGACTGTATGAATTGAAGGCATTGTCAATCTCCGTTCTCGTCATGAACGTGGGGAACTCTTCATAAACACCGTTTGTGAGCAACTCCAAGTGGACCATCTTGTGCTCCGCCTCCGTTTCCAAAGCATATCCACCGTCCTTGTCATTCGGGATGGCTTTCAGGCCGGATTGACGAAGCAAACGAAGTCCCCATGAAGTTAATGGTAACACGTTGGTATAGGAACGATTGTATCGCACTCTCGATATGGCTTTCTGGCATTCACTTAGGACACACTCCCTCATGTTCCGCACCATCCACTCCACCTCAGGCGCTATCAGATGATCACACGTAGGCAACTTTCTGTAGCGAACCGTGATAGATGGTCGGGAACCGCTGTCTGCCCTGTGATACCACTGCCACTTCAAACGATTGCCCCAATGGTTGAGGTCCTGGACCACATGGTCGATTCTGGGGAGAACTTTGGTGCACAAAATGTGCTTTTTGTGGTACCTGGCAAGGATCCAAATGATTGGCCATTCCACCTCCTCACCCCCAGGAGTGTAAACCGAATGGCTTGTGTGATCATACACATAGACTTGGTCACGCAGTCGAGCGAAGGCAATAAACCAGAACCAATCCGCCATACTTGACCCCCTCATCATCCGCAAGAGTCGCCTAGCATGCCGGTGATTCCAGTTGTGCTGCGTTCTAGCTCTTCTCACCTCCTGCCTCCATACTGCTTGCCTTTGTGTCCTCCTTTCTTGCCGTGTTTGCCTTTCTTTCCTTTGCCTTGGTGCTTGGACTTCCCTTTGGATTTTCCTTTGTTCTGGTGCTTGCTGGTGCCGTGGGTGTGTTTTGTATGCTTGTGGTATGCATGTTCCCACCAGCCCTTTCCGTTGCCGATGCTGCTGGTGGCATGTGGCGCGTGCTGCCCCGGGGCCGCCCCCGGGGATTGGCCGTTTTTTGTATTTTGGCCGTTGCTGGTGGTTCTTGCTCCTTGGCCTTTGCCTTTTCCACTACCTCGAAAAACTTCGACAAGCTGAGTGACGGCATCGTGCTGATTGAAATTCTGCTCATCCTTAGTGATGGCTTCCTCGGCACCGTCCTGGATTTCCATAGCCTCATCGTCGTGAGCCTGATGCTTCGAGACCTCCTCGGAGACAAAATGGCTAACGAGGTTCTTGAGGATGTTTTCCGGGCTTTGCTGCGAGAACTCCTTCTTGTCTTTCTCCTCCTTCAGCCTGTCCTTGTCTTTCTTTTCCTCTGCTTTGCTGATTTCCTCGATGACCTTCTTGACCACCTGGTTGTATTTATCATCAACCTTACTATTAACCAGAACAGGATCCACAGTAAGGCGATCAGGTGAGTCGATGGCGAGGTTTCGTACATCTGCATCCTTTGCGACTACCTCGTCAATGGCTGCAATGCACTTTGTACGCAAGGTGTCCTTGTTGGCAAAGGTGACCATTGTATCTCTGTGTGCTTGCAGTGCTTCCAGCTCGATGCTTTTGATGAGGCGTGTCATGCTGTGGTGTATGATACGCATGGCATCGCGGCGACATGTACCTGATGGAATAGTCACCTTAATGTCGGTGTTACCTCCCCGGGTTTCCGTCCAGGTTTCATCCAACTCCCCAAATGTGGTAGACGATGCAAATGGACGGATACCAGGTGGGTACCGCTTAGACTGCGTGTCCTCGGACATGATGGTGTACTTCGCGCGGGCATCGTCATAGGTTTTGGCACTGCGGGCATACTTCCGCACATCCTTCATGAACAACAGGGAAGTTTTGTCAATACACTGTACGATAGCATCTGGTAGTTTTGGATTCGGTGCTCTCATCATCCTGACTGCATTGCTGGCAGCTTGTGTAGCTGCCCCCTCGACCACACTAGCAGCTGCTGACGACCAAGCTTCAGTAAATACCTCTGTTGGGCACTGCTGTTGCTGTGGTTGTGGTTGCTGCTGCATGGCTTGCTGGTTGGACTGTTGATTGGTAATGATTTTGGCAAGTTCGCTAGTAGATGCTGCTGCTTGCTTTGCAACCTCCATCATCTGTATCATACTCTGCTGTGATTCTTGAAACATTTTCATCATCATCGTGTGCTGTAGGCGCATCTCAGCCATCGTATCTTCTAGCTTGGGAACTTTCGTAGGTGGACCTTCCTCCCGTTCCAGTCCGGCAATAGCTTCCGCAGCTGATGGTCGGGAAGAAGGGTCGGTAGAAGACATAGCCGCGCGAAGAGCGAAGTAGAAGGTGACAACCACGCACTCACTGATGGGCACTCTCGCGATCAGACTGTCAATGGCAGGATTTTTTCGCTATGGCGGAGTGGCGGGGGGACTTGGGAACCCCCCTGTAGAGTTTAGCTCCCTTCTCTTTACACTCCGGCCTAAATTGGCTGCGAGTGTTTTCACACATATGGCTGCCTTGCTACCCTCGTGCTTGGCATGAAGAGCAACAACAACAGCAGCAGCAACAACAGCAACAGCAGCAGCAACAACAGCAGCAGCAACAACAGCAGCAGCAACAGCAACAGCAACAGCAACAGCAACAACTGCAACAGCAACAGCAACAGCAACAGCAACAGCAACAGCAACAACAGCAGCAGCAACAACAGCAGCAACAGCAACAGCAACAGCAACAGCAACAGCAACAGCAACAGCAACAGCAACAGCAACAGCAACCGCAACCGCAACCGCAACCGCAACCGCAACCGCAACCGCAACCGCAACCGCAACCGCAACCGCAACCGCAACAGCAACAGCAACAGCAACAGCAACAGCAACAGC